TCTCTCTCTCTCTCTCTCTCTCTCTCTCTCTCTCTCTCTCTCTCTCTCTCTCTCTCTCTCTCTCTCTCTCTCTCTCCACGCGCCAGGACATCTTCTTTTCTTTGTTTTGTTTTTTTTTATGCTGAATTTCATTTGTTTTCTTACTTGCTTTTTTGTTTTCTAGAATTCCCCACGACTCCACGCGCCAGGACATCTTTTTTTTTGGACGTTGAGTTTCCTTTGCTTTTTTACTTTTCTTTTTTTTTTTCCGTTTGTTTTCTAGAATTCCCCGCAACCGGGTGTTCGCGGGTTGAGGTCTGCAACCTTCGCGTGTTAACCGCCGCGGTATTGCTTCTCAAGCAGGGAAACATACTAGTGGCTTAAATCACAAGTACGTTTCCCAGCTATCAAATGAAATATGCAGCTGGTATACCAGGTTGAAGTTTGGAGGCTCAGCCTCTGCTGGAACAAAATGGCTGGCATGGCTGGTGATTGGTGATGCCAGGCAAAAGGAGGCCCGTGACGGTTCATTTTTTTGGGGCGCGCAGGGCATTTCAAGCTCCAGAGAAAACTGGCTCTGAAGTACTGGCGATTTAACAACATTCCCGAAGTCATTCAGAGCTTGTAAGATAATTAACATAGCGAACAGTGAGCCAAACGTATAAGGAGCGAGACTGTTGACAGTAAAGCAGGCCATCAGCAGGAGCAACAGTGGGGTTTTCCGATTCTGCCAGCCTCTGCTAATGTTCAGGACTTCCACGGTCTGTATCAAATCAGGTGCAACAAACTAGGGGCCACGCTACACACACAGGAACCTGTGGATAGCGTAATTGCTGACATAGTTCTAAGTGGTCTGCCCAAGCCTAGTAATATCAATATACCCTGAAGAACATCTAGCAAACAACACAGTGGGTGGCGTGGTTGCTGGCATAGTTTTAAAGGTCTGACTGACTCAAGGTCTGGGAGGGATTTTCTGTAGCAAATCCATAGAAGGTCCGAAGACTTCACCACCTTTCTGCCCTCCACCGTCCACTTCCTCTCCTCTCGATCAAGGCTAACATTTCTGCCATCGGAAGCAACAGACATGCCCACCGACAACCAAAGACATGCAAACGCGTGCAACTGGTTTATATGCCTGTTGAGCACATGCCCATGTGTGGATATCATCTCACCACCAGAAACTCTGAACAAATGGACATGTGCCATGGCACGTCCCGTGTGGAAGGTATCTGCCAAGAGTTACCGGTCTACCAAAAATGTATATGGAACACCTAAAGGATGCCCTGAGACATGTCCGCAAGGGCTACAGGACATCCTTTACACACAAAAAAAATAGGGATCAGTAAGGGGCTCCTAAATGCTCGCATGGAAAGGAGGTAGGAGACGGAATGACTGAGGAGAGACTGGGAGGTGGGGGATCAAGGGTTGTTTCAAGATGCTGTAAACACAAGAAAGGTGGACGACAAGTGTCAACCAGGTGCATATTGTCTTTCAGTTTGGAGAGAGAGAGAAAGCGAGAGGAATGACAGAGAAGAGATCTCCAGAGCAGATCAAACACTACAGGAGCATGGGAGGAACTTTGGAGACCTGGAAATGAACGAGAGGAGTTATCTGACTCCACAATGTGCTATAGGCAAGCTGCTGATGTATTTCACCAGTGCGCTAAGGTATTGCTGGTTCTCCCAACAGCCCGCGTATTTCACCAGTGCGCTAAGGTATTGCTGGTTCTCCCAACAGCACGCAGAGGAACGAAAGCCAGTTTGCATTCACAGGCTTCCCTCCTGAATACACACAACCAAAAGCCTGCAGAGTATGCTCCCTCAAAAAGCATGTAGATGCCTAACTCCATATATAATAACGGCTTACATCTCAGTTTCAGAAATGAAAAGCAGCAATTTGGACACCTCGGAGTCAAACCGCAGCAAACATGCTGGTGACACAAAGTGCAACAATTTCCTTTCCACTCATCCATGAATCAAATTGCTGAACACAAAATGCCCTCGCTTTTCTTGTTTTTACCAACTTTGTAGCTTGTAAACCAAGGGTCTCAATTACCCTCCCCTCAAGGAGCTATAAACTGCACGGACTATCGACAAGATAAAAATATAATTAAATTAAAAACACAAGACAAGAAACACTGACCTGTCTTTCTGGATCCATGACAGCAGCGGGCTTTCTGATGGAGGCATCCATTTGGAAATAACCATAGCATAAAGGCAACATGAGAAAAAGCCGGTTCCCAAAATGATCAGTGTAATACCCCATATCCAGATATCGTCCATCTCTTCAGGTGCATCGTCAGCGGCTGTCTCCCAAGTGGCCTCCGCATCGCGTCCCGTCCCGCCTGGCCATTCTCTCCATGCAGAAGAGGCCTTGGGGGAAGCCAAACCATGCCCCCATCGATGTTCCCTCTCAGACCGAAGATTGCCATGATGTTGCGTTTGGTGGGTGTTGGGCCTCATACTCAGCTGTTATGACCAAAAGAAACGACGAAAAACGGACTAGGTGTCATGAAATGACACACCAGCCTGCCTCCCTGCACGTCCAGGAAGTCGTGTCAGTTAGGTAGAAGTAGTCACTTAGTAGCCTGCCGTCTTCACCCAAGTAGAACACCACCTTTCATGCAACTTTCGGTCCAGATGCAGCTAAAATTACAGGGCGTTCTATTCGCGTGAAGGCGGTCGTAGCCGACGCATGCATGTGCTTAGAGAGACCTTGGGGTGATGAAGAGCACCCAATTCAATTCAATCCAGGGCTGCACCGGCCACCAGCCGGTTGGACCGGACCGGACCCAACCGGGCCGGTTGGAGTCGAGATCTCCCCGAATCCGCAGAGAAATATTGATATGCAAATCTTTTTCATGGGGTTGGTGGGGGCGGGGGGGGGGGGGGGGGGKGGAAATTCATGAGTTGAGGGTGGGCTGCATTTCAGGGGTTTCCTCCTCCTCCTCCTCCTCCTCCTCCTCCTCCTCCTCCTCCTCCTCATCATCATCATCATCATCATCATCGTCATCATCGTCATCATCATCATCATCATCACGTCCGAGCCTGTTTTTTCAAACCCTGAATTTCACTGCACTCCGAGTTTTGCTGAGCCGGGTCCCACTCCATTTTCCTTTTTTTTTTTTTTTTTTTTTTTAATGCGGTCCGATGGACCACGGATCAGATATTAAACTGGGGCCAGGTCCCACTAGCAGCCTTGAGTTTCCTCAACGCCTGAATCTGGACGTGTCTGTGGATATGTGCAGAAATCGCGTTGAGTTTTCTCAACCGCACATCTCCACGAACGCGCCCAGATTCAGGCGGTGAGGAAACTCAACACTGCTAGTGGGACCTGGCCCCTGATCAGAACAGATACTACACTTGTACTCTCACAAGAAGAAAAAGAAAAAGATTTTTTTTTTTTTAAAGGAACAAGAAAAGTTGCGGTCGTCACAAAACAAGGAAAAGAAAACAAAAGAGAGACTCGCGTCGTGATTGCAGTTGTGTACATTCTTGGGAGTGGTGGTGTGAGTGTGCCCTCAGTGAAGGCATCTCAGCCCCGTGACCAGATTGTCAAATTCCAGAAACGAAGAACAAAAAAACAAATGCAAACACGGATTCTGCCGTGAAAATGGCTGGATACATTCCTCTAAGTGCCATAGTGATCACCATTACAATCCTCTGAGGAAACACAGCTTGAGCAAATCACGGATTCCGCTGTCAGATTCCAGAAAGAGAGTGAGAAAAAAAAAAAATGGAGAAAGCTTATGACAAGGTTGGGTGGAGTTTTGTGTTTACCACACTAAGAAGGATGGGGTTTGGCACTGGGTTCTGCAAATGGATTGAAGCATGTTTTTCTGAATCCTCGTCGGTGGATCATTAACGGTAGACTGTCGGATTGCTTTTCTCTTACCCGTTCTTTGAGGCAGGGGTGTCCTCTAGCCCCCCTCTTGTTTGTAATTCAACTAGAAGTACTTCAGAACAACATCAAGAACAATCAGGAAATTAGAGGTCTGCGTATCTCCCCCTCCCTTCAGTGGAAGGGCGGGGCTTTAGCGGATAACCTGACGGTCGCATGCGAGAACTCAGTAGAGTCCCTAGGGGCCCTCAAATCTGTCATAGATAATTACTGCTCACTGTCAGAGGCATCGATTAACTGGGACAAGTCTGTATATTTTCTACCCCCCTCTCAGAGCCTGTCTGTAGACTGGGGATTGAAACAAATTCCGGCTAACTCAGCAGATCGATTTCTTGGCATACAGGTTTCCCTGTCTGATTGCTCATCTGTACAGGATGGTTTACTAGCAGAGAAGGTGGCCGCCAGGATTACAGGGTGGAATCGGAATCACAACCTATCTCTCTTTGGCCGAGCCCTGGTCCTATCAGCTGCGGCCTTTTCACAGCTTTGGTTCCCCCTCTCAGTCCACAGGCTGGGGGATGGAGCCTACAAGAAGATTCAAAAGGCGGCGGCCCGTTACCTCTGGAAGCCAAGCGCCGACGAACAGCAAGGGTTCTTGTCGAAGGTGGCGTGGGAGACGGTAGCATCCTCAAGAGATAACGGTGGTCTGGGCCTCCTGGAACCCATCCAGCAGAATCTGGCCCTCCTATGCAAGTGGGCGGTTGCGGCTGTCTGGGGTAACAGACACAAACCGTGGGTGAGAATTGCGGAGTATGTATTGTCACAGGAATGGAACCTCTCCAGGCCGCAGGACGTTTGGCTGTGCATGGTTATTCCTTCTTTTGTTCATCGCCGCCCCAAATCCAGGTTCTGGAGGAACGTCCTGTTCGCGTGGCACAAACTCTTTCCTAAAGAAAGAGTTCAGCCGTCCACCAAACAGGAGGTTCTTCACCAGATGCTGTTTGAGAATCCCCTCATTGTGCAGGAGGACGGGTCTCCCTTCCTAGCGGATGGTAGCGTGGGCAGCTTTGGGAAAAGCTGGGTAGAAAAAGGGATTGTACAAGTCAAGGATCTGTGGGATGCGAAGTCAGGGGCGTGGGTTCAGACATCCAGCCTGAGATCCACCCTCCCGCGCATCCACAGATTGGAGGACAACCTTAACAAGCTCGTCGCAGCTATCCTGCTCTTTTGGCTTGGGCTGCTAAAAAGTCAGACTGAGGCCCCAGCTGGCTCCTGGCTGCAAAACCCGGACGTCCCAGACCAGTTCTTCAGAGTCATAGGCCCGGATTTGGTCCAAGGTGTTAAACTCCAAATTTGGGACCTGAGGCCGGATCGGAAGGGTGGTATGGTCCTGAAACATGCAGGGGAAGGGACCCTATCAGACACACGCGGCTTCCTGGAAAGCAGGGTATGGGCTCCAGATCCCTCCCTGCGTTCCAACTGCCTGCTTTTGTATGTGGACGCTTCAGTAATCACAGTTGAACCAGCTCTATTCGGTTGGCCGGATCTGACGTCCCCCTCCTCCTTCTCTCCAGCTTTTCTGTATAAACCTAAGTGGGGGGTTTCGGTGCTGAGAGCTAAAACCAAGAAACCTGCTATGGTAGTAGCTACAGCCAGAATGGCGAAGGAAGCTGGGTTCCAACTCGGTTCGACAGACTTATTTAAGCTATGGAGAGCTCTGAAACAGATTCCTTCTCAGAGACAGGCTAGTCTTATGTGGCTCCAATCGCTGCTATCCACAGCTTCCGCCACCTGGCTTCAGTCCAGAGGCATGGAACTATCGACTGTGTGCGCCCGTTGCCGATGGGGGTGGGAAACAGCCAATCACCTTTGGCTGTACTGTCCTATGCCCCACAAAGTATGGGCCTGGTGGAAGCATCACTGGGACCAAATGTCCAATGGAGAATTCAGATGGTCCCATGAATGGACCCTGTATGGTGATTGCCCCCCCAATCAGGATCTGGACTCTGGCTGGGGATATGTTGCCCTCGTCTGCAGGGGAGCCATCCTGGAAGCCATGTGGTTGTCCAGAAATGAGGCGGTTTTCCAGGGAAACCAGAGCTCCTTTGAGGTCTTGATAGCTCAGATTAAAGGTAAGATTAGAAGGGCCATCAGGGCCGATTGGTTGTTATCTAGCCCGTCCGCGAGGAAAGGGGTTACTTGGTTCAAGCGGACGTGGGCCAGATATAATGGCATGGCAGCAGTATGCACAGACTCAGTGATGAATATTTGTGTCTGGCTCCTGGAGTAGCTGATTCCGGGAGCTTGCAGGAGAAGGCAGGTGGCTGGAGTAGTTCGGAAGAGGTGATTTTCTTGGTCTACGTCGTATCTAAAATAAGTTCACAGTCCTCTTTCAGGTCTAAAATTTCTGAGCCCTATCTAGCAGGCTTCATCATTTCACCTTACCTTTCCGGGGTCTGTTTGGAACCAGCTTGCAACTCTTAGGGGAGAGAGGTTAGATGCAGACTGCTAAAAGCAGGAGTTTTAACTTGGGGCTGTAGTTCGTTACCTAGGCTTAAGTGATGTTCCTGGCCATCTCGGTGTCAAGAGAGGCCGCAGGTCCCCCAGACCTGTAAGCTACGCTGACTGATGCTGTCAGATACTTCCGGGTTGAGTTGTGAGGTCCCCGGCCTCGAAGTTGGTGTCTTGAAATTCATGTTCCATTTTGAGAAGAAAAAAAAAATGGGAACACCGATTCGGCCCTGAAAATGGCTGGATACATTTCTGCAAGTGCCAGTGTGATGAGGCTTACAATCCTCTGAGGAAACACACAAAGGGCCTCACCTCATTACTGTGGTTTCCCGCCTTCGACTGTCACACAGACTAGTAAACTATACTATTCGATGGCATGTGGGGCTTCTTCGCCCGCTGCCTCACATGGACCCTATTGTACAGCTAGACTCCTTCCCAGGAGCCTGTGTGCCCCTTTCTACCTCTCTCATCCCTCCCGGTTCCTCCTCCCAGCCCTTTACTGTACACCCTGGCTCGACCCACGCCCTGCTCCCTGTTCGTCTACTGTTCGATCTCGGCCCTTCCTGATGCCGAGCTCCTACTCCCCACCTTCACTTGGACCCCATTCCAGTACGGCCGCTCCTGCTCTCTTCACCTCTCCCCCCCACACACCCCTTTTCTTGAGTCCCCCTTTTTTTAATTAGTTCAACCGGCTGTTCGGCCAGCGTCTTCAGCGCTGCTCCGAACGGGCCGGTGTACGCCTTGGCTACTTACAGAACCCTGGCGGAAGACTGTCGCGTGACCATTTCTCGCTCACTTCACATCTTTCTGCCTCCCGCTAAGTCATTCTTCCCCACCCGCGTCGCATGTGTTCCTCCCGCCTTTGACTTAACTGCTGCCTTCCCGTCTTCTCCCCTCTCTCTCTCCCCACATTCTTCTACCTGTTCTTCTTCACTCGTAATCCCCTGACTCCGTTGGACT